ATATTTCTTTCCAGTCTTTACTTTTACAGCACTCCCCAGTTTGAGCTCCTCATTTTTCAGTGTTTGGGGCTAGCTGGCAGGTTTTCAGTTTCCATCAGCGGAGTAAAGCGGATGGTTACCCCCCCCCGGGTGCCTGAGAGCACCCAGAAGAGCCAGGGGAAGTCTGGAGGAGGGAGCGGGACGGCGCCAGCCTTGCGGCAGAGAGAATGAAGAGGGACAGCCGTGCCACGGTGCAGCCCTACCTGCTGCTTCTCAGTAATCACCCAATTTAGCTGGGTTGGGTTTTTTTTCCCCTCTCTCCTTTTTCACTATTAAGATTTATGAGAAGGAAGGTGCCCAGCTGCATCTGAGTGCAATAAACCTCTTGCGGCTGGTAAAAACCGACGAGCTATTCTTCCAGCTTGTTAGCAGTCAGGAAGATGGAAGGAAGTGGGAGGAATCCAGAGGGTGAGGTTTTCTAATGCCTCACTCGTCACTACCGAACCCAGTGCTATTTATGGTGCAATTATCACCACAGACAGACTCCTTTATCATCCAGCCGATATTCTGGGTAGAAATCCTATTGCAGCCCAGCCACTCCATATATCATCTGGGCACAGGCAACGGCCAGGTGAAGAGGTTCTCTTGCGGAGAACGCATCTGCCAGACTCTGCTTGTCCCTGGCACCCCTGCCAGCCCTGTATTTACGACCAGGGAGGAGGCTGCCGTCCTTCTGCCCTCCCAGCAATGTCCAGCACAGAGGGAGGAGGTGAGGATAGGCTTGGGCTGTTCTGCACAGCAATGTTGATGGGGGCTTCCTGTGAGAATCAGCTCCTGTTGGGGCAGGAGGGATGGTTTTTTACGAGTAACATGAACACAGAGCCAGCAACAAGTCCACTGGACTGAGGGTGGCTCAGGGCAGCAGGGAAGGGAGAGGGATCTGCAGAGAAGTGACAGGAGGTGAGTTTTGAATCCCCTGTGGTTTCATAAATGAGCCAGAAGGCAGGAGAGTGGGAATCAAGTGCCTTACACCCTAGCCGTGTCTCTGAACAGCAGGTTCCCTGGGTCTCTGTGTACCCTCCCTACCTCCTGCCTGGCCCCACCACCCAAGTCGGTGCTGCAAGCATCATCCTTGAGGAGTCACCGTGGGTGGGCAGCACGGCTCCGCAGACCAAAGTTTGGAATTTTTTTTTCTTTTTTCTCTTCCCCAAATTCCTTTTTCTTTAAAGAGGAAATCGCACCTTTCTCCTTACTTTGTGCTGAAATCCCTCCCGAAGTTCAACTGCACTTCTCCACGGGGCTGGAGAGTTTTGGAGCAAACTCCCGTGCAGCCCATTCCTTTGGCTGGTTTGGGATAAGACTAGAGCAGATTGGACAACACCAATGAAGCAAAGTTTCCTCTTAAATACCTATCTGGAAGAAGACTGTTGTGTAGATTCTCTGGTGTCTAATAAGGGTTGAGCATCCCTTTCCCCTCCCCATTGGCAGATGCATTTCTCTTCTCTATTTCATTGCCCGTTTTTACAGACCTTGTCGGGACCTCAATATATCTGGAAGCCTCTTCCCCAGTGTCAAACGTGGGTGGTACTGGGCAGCTGCTAGTGGGAACCAGCAAGAATGCACGCAAGGCTGCTGAGTCACATAGCCTAATTTTCCTGGAGAATCAGACTAAACTCCCACCCACGTCACTGTTTCCACTGCCAGGGCAGAGCTGAGACGCGCCTTGGTCTCCACTCCACCATCTCCCCTTTATCTTCATTGCACAGAGCCGGGCTGCATTTATTAAGGGATGGGCCTTAATACTTGTGAGGAGTGAAATTCTTGAGGCAGAGGAGCTAAGCTAATGATTGCTCGCACTGCCTGTTTATCTTCTAATTGTGGCTGACTCCTGCCTTTTCACGTTCCTGGTGCTCGAAAAGGGAAGAACAGAGCTAGGTAATGTAATTTAATACCCCAAACATACTGGCTTAATTGCAATCCCCATAAGCCAGCCACACAAAACTCTAAACAAATTCGATTAATTTATTTCAATTTGCACAAGTCTCCCTCTCAGACTGTAATTAATGGAGGGAAACAATTAAGGTAAACACAGCACAGCTGAGAGAGCTGTCCTTGCTAAAAGTCGCATTTTATTTTAATAATGCTGTATTTATAAAAGTTCCATACTTTTAACAAGTTTCCTATTTCCTCGATGTTTAATCAGGCCTGTAGATATTTTACCTGGGCTGCAACAGTTTTGTGAAATCAAAAATCAACAAGGAGGACATATATATGTATGTGTATATATATATGACCCTATATAATATCCCTCTCTCCACAAGCTGGTGTGCTCCCACCCAGCATGGGCGATGGCTTGCTTTGCTGAGGTTTGCTTTGGTTGGGTGGTGGTGTCCTACGCCGTGTTACCGGCTCCCAGCTCCGACGCTTACAATCCTACACATCTGGACTGAAGCTAATCGGTGTTTATTAAGGCTTTGATAGCCCCCAAGAGAGTGGTTAACATCAGTGATGGCTCTCTGCCTTACTTGCCATCAAGGAACATGGTTCCACCTGGACTGAGCAGTGCTGGGGGTAACCCTGCACCTCCGGCGTCGTGCTCAGCATCAGGGGTGTCGCTGCCATGGGACTGGGGACAGTCACACACTAGGGGGTAAATTCCTCCTCCAGATGCTCCCCAAGGGGCTGAAAGGTGTCTCTGAATCAGGGGGTGTGGGAGGGCTGGGAGGCAGCCCCATGCAGCTGCCCCAAATTCAGGGCTGCCCGGTTGCAGGTTGGTGGCCATCGCTGGTGTGATGGGCCCAGATGGGTTTTAGAAAGCCTGTAGGAAAAGCCTGTCCCAGTAAATCTCTTTACTACAGGTGTAAATGACCCATGGTCATGTTGAGGCAGCTCCACCTGATGTATCTTCCCAGGTTTCCTGCTCCTGCTTGGATCAGGGCTTGGCTTTGCATGGCTCCTGTGTGCAGTGCAGCCTGGGGACGTGCCAGCAATGCACCTCCAAAACGCCATCGAACTGGAGGCAAGGGTATTTGTCCAGCTGCCGCTTGATCTCTGCTCCAGGTCGCTCTCAGAACACGTCTACAATCACCCTGCTCTGCTCCATACAGGACAGAGACTGATTTCGTGCCTGACACAGCCTGGCCAGGGGAAGCCATGGGGGAGGCAGCAGCTTTGAGTTTCTTTTTTTCATCACTTGTCATTTTCCACCTTTGAATACATCCCGTGGATGAGTTTTCTTCAAAGAGATGGCACATCTGCCTTTCTTTTTTTTTTTTGAAAAAAACCAGGACCAATATGATCCATCTTTCATTGCACCAACTGGTATTGCTAAAGGACAGAAAAAAACTAGATGCTGGTTTTCTCCCTTTTCTTCCTACCTTCATTAACCTTAGCATGTACTGTGCTCCTCTTCCAGCACAAGTGTGGCCTTGCTAGAGTAGATCTTAGCTTGAACAATCTCGTGTTGATTTTCTGCTATCTCAAGTACTGGCTGGCCTAATTAGTTTGGAAATGCACCATTTGTTAAAGAAAGACGAGGCGCAGGCTGACACCTGCTGTATTAATTACTTGCCTCTTTAGCTAATTGCTTGCCCACACTATTAGGTGAGGGAAGCCGTCACTGATGTCTTGGGCTGAAGGTGCCAAAGAGTAAGGGAGGAAAACGTGCTGTTGGAGAGGAGGTCAGGGGAGCTGAAGGATGCATTTTGGGATGGTGGGAGCAGGGCCAGTGCTAGTTCTGATTTACACCTCCCCAGGGATGTAAAATCCTGGTGCAGGATATGTCCCAGCATCCACAGAGCTGGATGAGGTGGGAAGAGGGACCCATGTGGAGAGTGGTCCCCTGACTACCAGGGACCTTGTTGGGTGATGCTGGGCAAAACATTGCTTCTTTCCACCCCAGGTTCCTGCCTGTAAAATCCAGAGAAGGATACAGATGTCCATCTGAAATGCTCCGATGATGAGTGTTATATAAAGGCCAGAAATCATTACTTGTTATTGTTAGGATGCGCAGGGGAGGAGTGCATGCGGAGATGGAAAAATACCAGGAGGAAACAAATCTGAGCAGCAGAAAGCAAAGTGCGGTGGTGCAGGCAGGACGGAGCTCCTGTGCTGCAGGGTTGGGCAGCTCATCTCCCCTTGGACCCCAAGTGCCTCCAAGGAGCCTGTGCAGAGACAGACCCATCTCCCCACAGCTCTGGCTGCTGATGTGCCACCGTGTTGATGTGTGTGAAGCCACCGTGCATACCACTGAGCCTGGGGCAGAGAGGCTGGAGGTGCCCATAGCTGCCAGCCCCAGCCATGCCAGGCAGGACCAGATCTGACCTCTCCACGGGCTCATGACAGAGGACAAGGTGAAGCAGGAGCCCTCAGGGCTGGGGAAGGAGCTGCTCCTGGCCACCCTGGGTCCTCTGTGTCCCCGCAGACAGAGTCAGGCCATAGCAGCCTGGGTCCAAAAGCAGCCCAAAACAGACCTTGAAGAGTAGAGCATCTCTGGAGGTTTAGTGAGAGCCATTAATGAGTCCAACATCCACCTCACAGTCCCACCTGATAGCAGGGATGCTGGGGTTCCCTCCCCCAGGTAGACATTCGGGCCAGGGTTGGGAAAGGGGCAGCATGGAATGGCCAGGTCCCACCCAGCTGCCCCCACCCAGATCCCAACTGCTCATTGAAGCAACCTGTCATCCCCATGGGGCTGTGTGATGCTGGGTCTGCTTTTGCAAGGGGTTGTGGGACACCGTTATGTCTCAGCTGTGTGCTGGAAGAAGAAGTTGCCTCATATCCCACCTTTGAGCTGAGGCCATGACCAGCAGGGTGGCTGGAGGAGTATGGGGAGGAGAACACCCCCCAGCTGCCCCAGTCCCCTGCTCCAGTCCCAAGACCTTACTGGCCTGAGTGGAGAAAGGGTCTCCCAGGACAGCTCTCCCTGTGCACTTGGGAAAGAGGAGGTGGCCTCAAGTGACGCGCTGCACTGGTCCCCAGCTTCGCTTCTGCGCTGATGGAAAGCTCGGGGCAGCCCAGCCCTACTCGTTGCGTGGGGCCAGGGCTGAGAGCAGGGCTGCTTTTGGGGCTGGGGGTGAGAAGAGCATGGCCAAGGCTCTGGCAGCACTGATGCTGCACACCCCCTCCATTGCACCGTCTTCCTCGCCCGCACTCAGCCTCTTCCTGACATCTAGTGGGAGCAGGGCCACATGGCAAAGGGATCCAGTGCCAGCTCCAGACTCCTGCACACACAGACATGCAAGATGCCCAGCCAGGCACAAGGCTTGGGCTGCTGGAACCACCAAAGGGGCTGGCATCGGCCACAGCACACAGCTGGGCTTCGCCAGGGCACGGCTGTTTCTGTAGAGAATTGCTGGGGGTGAAATTCAAAGTATAATTCCTCATGGTGTCTATATTAATGACCCTGCTCTGAGGCATGGGACCTTTTTAGGGTTATCCACCATCTCAGACCACTTGAGCCCTCTCCCTCTCTTCCACAGTTGTTCCACGTTCCCAGGCAGGGTGCAAAGCAGAGGAAATTCCCTTCTTGACCTTGGTTTTGGATGGCACGCTTGGGAGGTAGAGGGAAGAGGTGAGGTGGGAGCAAGAGACAGACGAGAGCGCTCCCAGCAGGACATCCCCATCCTTGGGGTTGAAGACTGTCCCCTCTCCATCCAGGGCAACCCTCTCCTTTTAGGTCCCATGCATGTCTCCCTGGGTTGTCCCTTATCCCCAGTGCCAGCTGCCAAAAGCAAACCTACTCCCAGCTCGCAGCCCTCTGCCCATGTTTGCAAAGGCAGGACAGGGACAGACTCACTACAGCATTCGAGGGACAGACACCCTCCAGGGTCATCCCACACTGGCCAGCATCTCTGCCAGACTGGTCTCCTGGTTCCCATTCTTCCCCAAAGCCTTTAGCTGCAATGACAGGCAGGAGCTACTCCTTCTTGCCTTGTTTCACGTGCTCACTTTCTGCGAGCAAAACCACCGTATTTTTTTTCCCTTGTTGCCACCTACCTTTGCTGGACTGCGTTCACTGGGTCGATCGTAACTTGTTGCCTGAAGGCCACGGTGTCACCACTCCATGCATCCCCAAGTCTCCCTGGTGATGCCCAAGGACTTTCATCAATGAGCAGCTAGAAGCTAAGTCATCAGCAACAAAACAACAACAACAAAAAAGTCTTTATTTCAATGACCAGGAAGAAAATTTAATTCAAAGAGCAAAGATACCAATACAAACCCCAAAGGTGCTCCGAGCAAACTGGAGCGATTTGCACAAGTCCCTTCCCAAAGCAACCAGGCAGATGTGGCTCTGGTCTCCAGCGCTCCCCCAGCATGGACGTGGTGCAGACCCACGCTTCTCCCCTGCATCCTCCCATGCCACCCCCTTGCCGGAGGGACCCACGGTGGCCCAGAGAGCTCCTGCCCCTGGGGAACAGGTAACTCGGGGGGCAGGTGAGGGGCAGGGGTGTCACTGGGTGAGCTCATATGGACCCTGCAGGAAAGAAAGGCACTTACCAAACTTCAGTGGCATCCTGCCACCTGCATGTACCTGCCCCAGGACTGCAAGTCATCCCTCCATCACCTACCCCTGCCCACCCTGGTCTGACATGCCGAGGATATAGCCCCCTGGGGGAGTCACGGTGCCCCAGAGACAGCAGCAAAGTGGGGGAGGACATGGCTCAAAGGTAGAGGAGCAAATCCAGCTTTGAGTTGTCCTCAGCCACCCTGCATTTGCTATGGTCCCTGCGGAGAAAGCCCTCAGCTCCCCCGACTGCTGCTCCGGGGAAGCACTTTGCTGGAGAGGAAGAGCCCAAAACTTCTTGCTCCTGGAGACAGGACAGCAAAAGGCAGTGGCCCTGGGCAGGGACCTCTCCAGAGCTGTGTCCAGAGCCACGTGCCCCGTGCTCAGCCCAGCCACACATACAATAGGGACCACTGTAGCCCCAGCTTGATTTTTCTCTCTCCCCCCACACATCCAGCAGCCCACTGAACCCCCAGACGGGGTGCAGAGCCTTTGAGAGAAGCAGGGATAAAATTCTGGAAGCAATGTTAATCCAACAACTAAGTGGATGTCACTCCTAAAATTCAATCCAAAGCCACTGAAAATATGGATGGGAGACAAAAATCCCAGACCTTCAGGATTTCCATGGAGGAAAGCCTGGTCTGTCCAGGGGGGCTAGTTTTTTCCCTGTGTTTAGAGACAAGCAGCAGCCAGGCACTTGCAGACAGGCACTTGGCTCCCCTGACATGGGGCTCACCAGTCTGACCCCCTCCCCACCTCTCCAGAAGTTTGTCTCCCCTTGACTTCACTCTGCTCTTTTGGGGGATCCTGAACTGTTCTGGGTCCCAAGAACAAGGATCCGGCCTCAGCTCAGATACTTATTTTCTCCTGAGGAGGCAGAAAGTTCACAAGAAACACTGAACACAGGAAAATTGCACTAGTCAAGGAGCAGACAGTCTCACAAAACGGCTTCCAGCCCTAACTCCCTCACGCCATCGGCTCCTTTCAGCCCCCAGGTTGGGCCCTGCAGCCTGAACCCAGCCAGGCTCACAAGCAGCAGCCTTTGGGTGGGGAAAAAAGCACCAGTGCTGCCAAATCCCCTCCTTCCCACAGCACTTCACGGCAGTGGAGCTGGCAGCCGGGGAAGTGGCCGGCAAGCTCGGCACAGCAAACACGGCAGAGCACCAAGCAGAGCGGTGGGAAGGGGACGTCTGGACCTGGGCGCATTCGAAGAGCAGATTCTCCTTGCCATGTGGCCATGGAGGTGACTGGGAGCAGGACCACGAGTTGCAGATTGTTTATTTGAACTTTTCTTCTCGTTCAAATAGAAATTAAGTCAAAGTTGTAAGTGGAGGCAGAGCCATCAGGTCCCGGGGCTGGGGGAAGCCATTGGGACCTCTCTGCCTCCCAGTGCCACTTCTTCCAAGCCTCTAAACCTGCTGCACAGAGCAGGACCTTTACCAAAAATGCCTACATTGTCCTTCAAAGCAGAAGAGCCAAAACCAAGGTGATCCTGGCACTCAGTCCTCTGCCCTAAGGAGAATCCTCCTTAGCGCCGAAGCAGCTCAGCAAGTGATTTTGGTTCCCAAGACGCAACCCAGCTTTCCATCCCAGACCCCCCTTCAGTGGCACAGCTCGGCCATGTCACTAAGCAGCTCCCGGAGGCAGCATGGACGGCAAAGTGTCATTGCCGGTGCAGCACCGGCCCCACCAAGTGGGGCAGAGGGTGCCCAGCTCATCGCTGAGGTCACTTTTGGGGGTCTCAAACCACATGCAAAACCATGAAGCAACACATGGAGAAACCCAAGGGGGAGGTGGTGTCCCCGCGGAGAGGCCGGGGGGCTC